GCATACACTAACACAACACACACGCACTGCATACACCAACACAACACACACGCACTGCATACACCAACACAACACACACGCACTGCATACACCAACACAACACACACGCACTGCATACACTAACACAACACACACGCACTGCATACACTAACACAACACACACGCACTGCATACACTAACACAACACACACACTGCATACACTAACACAACACACACACTGCATACACTAACACAACACATACACTGCATACACTAACACAACACACACACTGCATACACTAACACAACACATACTGCATTCACTAACACAACACACACAATACATACACTAACACAACACACACACTGCATACACTAACACAACACACACACACTGCATACACTAACACAACACACACTGCATACACTAACACAACACACACAATACATACACTAACACAACACACACACTGCATACACTAACACAACACACATTGCATACACTAACACAACACACACACACGCTGCATCCACTAACACAACACACACACACGCTGCATCCACTAACACAACACACACACTGCATTCGCTACACATTAACACACTCTGCATTCACTACACTAACACACACTCTGCATTCGCTACACATTAACACACTCTGCATTCACTACACTAACACACACTCTTGTGCTTTGTCAGGGGCCCCAAAATTTCTGATGGCGGCCCTGGCCACAGTGCTTATGCCGCACTGACTGAGACTTGTGGAAAAATGGGGAAGCTTGGATGCACATGGCACTTGCAGTCCATGTGCATTAGTTCCTCACAGCTCCTTTATAAGAAGATTCCTGGAATGTCCATGTCCCCTCATGATGTTGTAGGAGGTAGAGAGAGGAGAAGCACCAAGTAAGACTCAGTGCTTTTAAATGGTAAGTGAAACTTTTATTCCATTAGTATTGATTGAAGCAGGGGGGCTCTATCTGACTAGGGGCAGGGAAACTAGAACAGGTTTGTATTCCTAATGCTATATACAGTGTTCCTTTATAATTAAAAGTAGTGAAATTTCAAAAAATAAATTAAAGCACCTATTGCTAACTTCTAGTTATTGATTGTGTGCAAAAAAAAAAAAACCTTACAAGAGGCAGTTTAGCTTTATAGCTATGAGAACAAAGCTGTACACATGACTGAAAGTGAAATGATCAGTACAAACATACCTATTGATAACCAGCACATTTTAAAACTTTCACACAGCTTTATAACACTCCCAGTCAGTAGACACTATCGAGCGGTGACGTCGACAGCAATGTGTGAATCACATGACCCCTCCCTCCCTTCACTGCGGCATTCCACTCCACTGGAATTAGGCACGGTCACGTGACGCTGCTTCGTCGACAGCACCCCCTGCCATTTTAACTGCGGGCGAATGGTCCCTGAGCCATTGTAATACATAAGAAGCAATAGTAAAGCACACCCAATTGCTTGGCTGAATAGCTAGACCGAAGACATAGATAAATATACCGTACTAGCGTGTGTCACAGCGCGTTCTTGGACTAAATGCTACGTTTATGGTTAGTTTTATGTTAGAATTTAAGCTGTAGGCTTTGCCCGTTGCCCTCAGTAAAAATGGCGGGTGGGCGGTGTCAGCGAGCGTGACGTCAGTGGCTGTGTTAAACTGGAAGGAGACAAGGGGCTGCTGATGCTGTGCTGTGATCTTCAAGGTAATGGGGGTGAAGGGTATCTTTTATTATTAAAAATAAATAAATATATACATATATATAATACAGGGTGATTGTGGGTAAATAATGTCAGAATTAGGGCTCAGCTCTCCTCTCTGGGGCCTGGCTGACATTTAACAAATGACAATTACATGTCATTACTGTGATAGGAGGCAATGTGTATTATATATATTGTATCTGTCACTGGTATTCTCCACCAATGGGTTAATAATATGGATTTAGACATGCTGAAAATAGTCATCACTGTAAGATTTATATTTTTTTTTAATTAAAGATTGTTATTGTTTATGTCAGTATTTATATATAATATCTATCTGAATTGCAGACATGATGGAGTCTTACATTAATCTTCTTTCTTCACCATTTAGATGTCCTATATTACATGGTGGTTAATCTTATGTATGGGGTTATAGAACTGTCATTTTCCAGTATATATAGTGTGTGTGCATTATGGCGATTCATTCACTGCAACAAAAAAATGCTTACTGTTCGTGTAAATTGGATGTGTGTGGGCTAGTCACTAATCTCCAAACTGAATGGCAAAATTGAGGCTAAAATAGCCAATTAAATGGATATTTATTTTTATTTTTCCCAAATATATTCATAAACATTGTGATTCAGATTTCAATTGTCTGCTGTTAGGAGTTTAATGAATAATATATGTACAAAATGTCTAGCATGTCCTAATGAAAATATTTTAGACCGACACTGACAGACAGAGTTTTTTAGTGAGAATTGTCAGGGATTCCAAGTGAATTGGTAATTTAATGCCAAAATATCTGAATCAGCAGCATTGTTGATTTGGAGGATATTTTTTTTTTTTTTTTACATGTTTGGCTATTTTGACTCACCTTTTTCCTGCCCCTTCCACTGGCCACTAGACTCCCATAAGCAATGTCACCATTGGATGGGCTTTGCAAAATTAAATCACATTCACTTTGATTTCCTGACAATTCTTAGTTTTAATAACCCTATTTTCTCCATTGGCATGCTGGTCTTACTGTAGCTGGCCCTGCTTGCATGGCTGACATCATCACCCTTGCCAATCTTGGCCAATCCAATCCTTTCCCATAGGAAAACATTGGGAGCCCATTTCTCATTCGCGACAGAGCACTGTTCAAATCAGCATCTTCTCATAGCGATAAATGGAATCAATGCATCCCTATGGGGAACATTCAGCATCTTCATGCAGAGCATGGAGACACTGAACATAGGTCCTGCACAAGGTACTTCACTAAAATAGGAAGCACCTTTAGTGGCCGTCTGAGTGACAGCACCTAGAGGTGTTACTTGGCAATAGGTATTGAAAGCTATTTTTAAGGCCAGATACTGATAACAATCTCATAACTGGTACATATATTCTTCTTCCTTTCCCTGCCTTTTACCTGTTGCCAGGGAGGGGGACATTACCCTCCCTGGTGGTCTTGTGACTTTGTGCAGGCTGCCAGGGGGTTTCCACATTAAAGAGGGACGTCTTGACTAAAGGTTTTTTTTAATTATTCATTTGTATTTTTTATACATTTTATATAATTATTAAAATGCTCTATATGATAATGTCTTGAATGCTATTCCTTGTTCCTTGGCTGCAGCATGCCTACTAGTTTCTGATTAGTATAGAAGTAAAATTACTTTTAACTGACACAATAGGATTTCTGATATAGTAAAGCAACACAATTATGAACATTTGTAATCATTTTTTACTTTAATGGTAATTCTAAAATTACTTCTAAATTTTTTTAGAGAAATAGATGTACGATTTGATTTGGTCATAATGTAAGACACCCACCATGTATAGTCGAGTTTAATAGCGTACCCTGGGACCCATCACATGCTATCTTCTGTTTCCGGCAGGTCCTCTGTCCAACTCTCGCAAGCCTGGAACGATTTGATGGCCGAGGACTTGTGAAAGCTAGAGAGAGTAGGCTGCCTGCATTGTCAGCTATATTGGTATCATTATAGGCTGATACCAATATTTGCCATAATGCTCAACATCAGCCGATAATATTGGCCAGACCAATAATCTGTCAATCCCTACTAGGCAGTAATGTAAATGCTGCCTTTTCTCTGGAATAGCTTGCAAAAGCTGCACTTCTCCTGTCTGAAGCCGTTGCAAGAAATCCTCTTCTATCCAGCCCAGACTTTCTGTGGCTGTCCAATTTCAAAATTCCCAATGCAGCTCAATGACAAGTCTTTGCAAAGCAGGTGCTCTGTGCAATTTCCTGCCTCTTGAGTTTAGCTGAAGTTAAGCAACCTGGAAGTAACAGGACCGTTTGTCTGTATGCCTCCTGGAGGGGGAACGGGGTTAAAAGTGCCAATTTCTATTGAAACCTTCACTTTTTGTAAAAAAACAAACTTTACTCCTAAAGCGTGTGTCAGCATGCTGAAGTGACCATTTAATAAACCAGAAATGATGGAGTGTCACAGGAAAATGCAAAATATTGACCAAAATAGCCAAATTAAGACAATTGTTCAACTTTATTTATTTTTATATCAAGTTTGGTTATTTTATTTTGGAATCAAATTGCAATTGCCTTGTCAATTCTCAACAATTTAGCTTAATAAGTGCTTCCCATTGTTTTAAAAAGGAACTGCTCTAAAAAGGAGGCATGATCTAATTTTATCTTATCTTTTTGTATTATATTTCATTTCCATCTTGCTTAAATGGTTACTCCAGTTTCTTAATTCACTTTATTTTTCATTTAATCGTGTGTGTGTGTGTGTGTATAATAGTGACTGTACCCTTGTAGTCAGGCTGTAGCTGAATCCAAATGGCAGGTGCCAGTCCCAGAGGCATAAAAATGCATACAAAAGGGCGGGGCCTGACAATCATGGCAGCTGGTTGTGTCCTTTGTTAGCTCCTGGGGACACGCTGAGCAAATCTACTCTTCCAGCAGGCTTTCAGGGCACCCCAGAAGCCGAGCTTCAGTGAGGCCTAGATGGTGCTGAGGAAGGGAGAGGCGGTTGATCTCCCGGACCGGTGCAGGCGAAGTGCTAAGCATGTTCCCGGTGCCCTGCTACCCCCCCCCCCTCTGGACCGGTGGGGGTGATCCCGGCCCCACCCTGACCGCTCCCAAGCACAGCGGAGGAGCCATGGCGGAATCGCAATTGTATGTGAGCAAAGTGGAATATCCTCTAAGATGACGGACACCACGAGTAACCAGACTCCTTTTGGGAGAGAGGTCGGTGACTGACCGCCTGGAAGCTATCTTCAATGCCTTCTAGAGGTGACTGGAGAGCAGACTGACAACCATTGAGCTCTACGAGGCACCCCCTGAACCATCTTACTGCTCTCCAAGGCGCCCGCCAGCAAACACCACAAGCCCAACATACCTTAGGCGGAGACAGCCTAATCGGCATGCGGCGGCAAAAGCAGCCCACCCGCCAACTCCGAGGCAGCACAAATCCGGAGTCACCAGGAGGAAAGCAAACAAGGACGAAGAGATGAGAAGAGGGCAACCGCTGACCGCAGATCTGCAGAGGTCACCCGCTACGCGGCTTATACTCCCCAAGGGAACAAGAGGCCGGGAGAGGAGGATGAGAAGCGCGCCAGACCTGTCTCAGCGAGCACTTCGGATGCAATTAGCCTCTCAGACCTGCCAACCTGTGCTACCCTGCAGGACTTTCACTTGCCCCAGGAGGGAATAGGCTGAACAGGGACTGGTACTACTAAGGGGTAGCTCCTTATCACGTTCCCTGCATAAGTCGCTGTGAAGCCAACAGCTCATTGCTATTTTGTTCTTCTCCTCTTATACTCTGCTTCTGTTGTTATCTTTTATCTTATCACTAATTTACTTGTCAGCTGCAAGCATACACAGCGAATTGTAGTCCGACCTATCTACGTGGCCTCCCGGGTGGTTAGCTTGGGGGCATAAAGCTCAGCCCAAGACCTACGCCTATCCTCTGCCCGGATCCCCACCTCTGATGCTCGCCTCAATCAGACTTTCACCCAGCCTCCACTCCTTCAAAAAATCTTTGAAAACTCACTTCTTCATTAAAGCCTATCAATTAAACTGTCAGCAGGTTTCTCATCCCCCACCCCATGACTCCGTTCCTGCACTTGTCAAAAATGACCTACCAAGCACTCAATAAACCCTTCTGTAACAAACTATTTAATTCCCCTACTTTAACCCTTTGTGTCTCTATACCCCACTCCCTCTAGCATGTAAGCTCATCGAGCAGGGTCCTCAACCCCCCCTGTACGTCAGTGGTCTGATCTCAATTAGGCCGCCCATTGTACAGCGCTACGGAATTTGTTGGCGCTATATAAATAATAAAATAATAAAGCAACGGGAAGGTGGTTCTACTGCAGCTGTCTCAATACTATATATAATGCAATTCAGCCTTCCAATACCAGACAACCCACATTAACTTAATTCTCACCATGTCATAGCTCAGTATTTCTCCCTCAAAAATTATGCTAGACATGTAATGCTTAGCCTGTACTCTACACTATACTAAAAATTGTGCATGTAACTGATATGTCTTGTTTAATCAATCTTTCTTGCCAGTGCTGTTGTGGCATTGGGAAAATGTCTGTTAATCTCATGCACACAAAAAATAAAGAATTAATAAAATGCATACAAAATTGGAAGTAGGGCTGCACTCATGGTCTTCAAGTAGGAAAAATCTTTATTGGTTTATCATAAGGATCATTGTGATCAACATTTCAGTCCCCAACTAGGATTTTCATTAGGATTATATATCTCTTTAGGTCTCCCTCCCCAGTTTTTCGCATGTATATCCTTTACAAAATACTATAAAATCTATTTGAAATGCAGTGTCAGGCCAAGTTCTTCCCAATCGGTTTCACTCATTTGCCGTTATCACGCCACATTATCTTCTGGGTCGTAGTTCAATCAAATGCTTCTAATAGAGAAGCTTTGCCTTCAGTGTATGTGTGTTGAGCGCCACTAATACACCAGTTGGCGTTGAGGAGG